CTTTCAATAACTGCTTCACTCCTGTAACTCGAAATGTGTTTATTATTTGCAGATAGCTATTGGTTATAAGCACCTAAAATAAAGGATCGCGTGTGGAAAGTGGGATGAAATTCTCGCCTGTTAAGTAAGCAAAGCCCACTGGGCAATTCTGGCCCATGGTATGATTAATGATTACTTCGCCGACATCTCTTTGAAACTTCCAGTAATTCACATAATTACATTTAATAATGTGCAATATTGTATTTATTCCGCTTTTAATGCTGTTCTGTGTTCGTCAGACGTTTGCTATACTTCCTCAGTACTATCTGTTTGTGTTCTGCATAGACGCCGCTTCTGCTATTTGCACCTTCTTCTATTCAAAACTCCCATGTTAACTAATTTATTTAGCATAACTGATTCGTATTCTGCGCGTAGGAGTCTAAAGAACTACTGAACAGTTAAATTTCATTGGTTTTCACTACATCGACGTTTCCTTAAAGGGGTTATAGAAATTCTATTAGTGTTGGAATAACAACGTTAGCGATTCCTCCAAAAATGAGGAACCACTAATTTAATGACGTTCACTCACGGGATTGAGGTCGTCACTGAGTGAGTGACGAGTTTTTGAGAAGAATGGATTGCGTGCTTGTGTGTGTACAAAAGGAATTCGAGGGAATGTGACACCTAGGTTTGTCACCGTCACCTCATTTCCATATTGATTCCAGAATCGTCTTTCTTTTTTTTTCGTCAGAATATGTCAGATTCTCTTCATAGAAGTTGGAGCTTGAATGTTTTTCAATCTTAGAATGATAGTGTTGGTGTCGTTGATGGCAAGTCAAACAATGAGTATGTGTTACAGTCATTGTATTTATAGATGGTGACTGTCGTACATCATCTTCATTGAAGTGCTTCGATACCTAGCGTTTCAATTTTTTTCATCTTTTTGATGATCTTTTAAAATAAAAAGAAGTTTCAGAAAAGCACCCTTTCTACGTCCACATCCATGCTACTAACATCTGAGTAGAAAGGTTAAACTGTCTTTTTATCTCGAAATAACGTATTCCACGAATTTTAATCGAGGCAAAGATAAAGTACCATATTTCGTTGATAAGCTAACAAGAGATTGTTAGGACACATTTATTCGGCTAACGTTTCGACGTCCTCGTCTTCCTGAGAGCCGATGGCCTGAGTCGATGGTCCACAGTCTTCTAATGTGGTGTCTTCTTCGTCGTATCGAGTCGAATCTTCATCCTTGGAGCACCGCTTCAACGAGACAAACTCATCCGGCTGCGCAGTTTTATACGAGGCGGTTGTTGTTGACAATGAACGTACACGAAAGAGACTACGTTGGTTATTCATAATGAGGTTAAATGAAGTTAGGTTTAGCATAGTATTACTTCTTAACGTGTAAGCTTATCTAATACCGACTGCTGCAGGATTTATCGTTCATTGAAAAAGAAATTGTTATCAACTGATAATCATATCAGCACGAACCGTTCTGTATAAAAGAGCGCTGCCGTGTCAGATTGCCTCATTTGAGGGGCTCTCTGCTGACGAGGATTCGACTCGATGCGATGGCAAAGCCACCAAATCGAAAAGACGAACGACTGTAAACCATCGACTCGGGTCATCGGCTTTGACGAAGGTGAAGTAGAGCGAGCAGTTAGTGGAATAGATGTTTGAAAACAAATTCGTGTTAACTTATCAATGAAAGAAGGTACATTGATCATTTATACCGAGTTTAAATGAAAGTCGGCTTACAACAGTAAAAACTAACATATTGCCCAAGAAAATTGTTTTCTATCGAAAAGCAATTTTGTTGTTTAGAATACGGTGACTTTACTATTTTCTTTCACTCAATTCCTGGGGTGCAGAAGCCATGCGCTACTGAGTAGGAAATCAATTTTTTACCACACCTTACCATCATTTTTATACTTTAGCTTCTTTCGTGTTTTTCTCCTCCCCACTTCTTTCTTGTTTTTGGAATGGAGATGATAATTGCTTCATTGCTGATTCTCTCAGTAATTGCCCATATAGAGTGGTCGTAATTCAGCGCTATGCCTCCTACGTCTCCACTAAGTGGCCACCAGTTTCCTTTTAACTATGCAGAGTAAGACGTATCGTATGAAACGTTAAGAAATAGTTTACATAAGCTAATCATTGTTGTTTTATCATCTACCGTTGTGAATTGTCAGCATTTCTTTGTACTATTGAAATTGTTCAATATTAACCGAATACGATTCGCGTTATCGCTGAAGACCTACGCAAAGAACCAGTGATGCCAAGCTAAACCGAATTTGTTTCAACTAGTTTTATTTAAAATTAATAGTCCTAGCAATAACACTTGCTATATCTCTCGCCCTTCTAATCTGAATTTCTCATAAGTCTCTTTTCGTTTATTTTTCAGCGATAAAAAACCTGCCGTTCATTTACTGTCGTATATCGCTTAGATTTTAGTTCTGAAATGGGAATGCGATTTATCTGAAGCATTTTTATGATTTATATGCCAAAATCTCCCGTTTTTTACCCAATTCTTGGAATATCGATTGTTTCCGTCCGTTCTTGATCCGTAGTTGTGCGAATAGATATTGATTTGGGAGTTCATCAAAGTGCTTCACAGATCTGCAACGATACGGATATAGGAAAAGCAAATAGATTTAGGACATATTAAGGCTTTATGTTGAGCTTGATTTTCAAAATTGATTAACAGTTTCGAACATCCAAAATGTAGTTCAATTTGGTGGCAAAACATAGTGCAGTAACCATTTTCACCGTGCTGGTCTGTAGGATTTTTTCGCTGTGGGAGCTATTAATACGTTGTTTTACTACACAGCTTGCCTTTTTTGTAGTTGGGTCAGCCATTTTCCATTCTTTGCTAGAAAGATTCGCATTATCTTAAGGCGTCCGTGTTAAAGAATGTTTTTCTCCTTTACGAACTAATTTTTCTTGTAGTAATTCCCAAGGGCAACTTTCTATTAACTTCGGCATTGATCGAAAAATTCTTCATATTGTTGTTGAGCAGTGTTATTTGTTTTCTTTATTTACGAAAAAGGTGAGGTTCCAGCGGATCTCGTCTTCCTCAGAGCTTAGCAAGGTCAAGTCGATCGCTGTTAGTTGGCGCAGTGTTGAAATTGTCGTTGTTGGCTGCGTAGATTGCGGTCATCTTGACCTTTCTAGGCTCCGGGGAAGGCGAAATCCACTGAAACGTCAGCTCGTTCTTAGGTAAAGAAATAAAATGACACCTCGTACTTGCTTAACAAGGATATAAAGATTTCTTATTGTACTTTTTCCTTGATAAGCTAACACGAGGTTTTACCGAACATTTATTCGGCTAAGGTTTCGACATCTTCGTCTTCCTCAGGGCTCATGATCCGAGTAGACGGTCCACTGCCGTTAGTGTCTTCGTCATCGTATCGTGTAGTGTCTTCAGTGGAGATTTAATGGAGATGGAGATTTAATCTTTTTTTTTCCTTGACATTTGTTTTACAGTTGTACGTTTACACTAACAGCGTTTGCTAAACGCCTTTTCTTCTAGGTCTATTTTCACACCAATCTTTGTCTTGCCTTCTTTTTTCAAAATTTTTTTCGTCTTCCTTTCATTATTATCTTTTATATAAGCCGCAGATGTTCGACGAAGGTTTTGAAAATCCTCAGTGCTTCCTTTCTTTTGTGATGTTTTTCTCTCGTTGATCAGAATAATGTTTTATGTATTTTTATTCATTACATCGTTCCATGTCATCTGTACGGTTTGCTTCTTTTAACGAATGAGCGAAAGAACTTTATAAGTGGTTGAAAAGTTTTCTTGCGAATGTTTTCGTTGCAAGTTTGTTCATTCTCTTTTCCTAAGACTTACAGTTTTGCCGTTGCTTGTTTTTCTCACTGTTTTTATTTGCTTTTCATTAATGGCAACATAGCAAATAAGGAAGATTTAAGATTAGACCTATATAACTCGATTGTGATTTTGAACTCGCGAATATCTTCATATTAGTGAGGCAGCATCGCTGTACTCTAAACATCATTCGCTCATTTACATTCTTTATACTGTCATCCATTTATTCTTTAATTATTAAGCATATTAGTTAGTTCATTAACATCATATTAACTAAGGGGCGAGTGTGGCGCAGTGGTTAGAGGTGCCCTGTATTACAAATGGGTTCGATCCCGCGCCTCGGGCCCACCACGTCTTCCATTTCTCTGGGATTGCCAAATTGATACCAGACTTGTTTGGGAGAATAACGGCATTCACTCGATACATCGGAGGTTATCATGAGTGATTATAAAGGCCAGATATGCATTCATTCACCTCTAACGGTGCTTAGTGAAGTCGAAAATACGGCATATCCCTCGGCGATTGATCCACACCGAGAGATTTATTCTTATATCCTTTTATTATCTGGTTTGTCGTTCTTTTTTTTCTCTCAGGAGAAATTGGATAGAAGTACTGTTTTCCATCTAGCGATTTTCTGGCCTTTTTTTTCGAATTCCATAATGTTCTGTCATTGATGAAGAGTAAACGGTCCCAGCCTGGATCCGCGTTTGGCGTCGATCAATTCCAGAGTGGTATTTGTTGCATCGCAGTGGTGACCGAATGCATATCTGATCTATACAGTGGCTCGAGAAAAGTTAGCGATTTATTAAATTAGTGTTTTTTCCTCCCAGACCAATCTGGTGGCAATTTGCTGACTTCGGATGGGGGCTGGCCGGGTCTGGGTATGAACCAATGACCTTTCCTGAATTCATCGCATATCACCTCTAACTACTACGCTACACGTTTCTGATGGTTTCCATATTCATCGTATATTCATGTCGGTTTACTTCGTTTAGGAAATCATCCATGTCGTTAAAAATATCATTTTTTCTAATGAAGTTGTCTATTACTGCCAAAAGTGGTGTATCCTATGGACTTTACCTGACATATCAAGCCTTTGCATCATCTTTTCACTTTCGTGCTTTGATTTCCGTCAATAGCCGGATTTCTCGTACTGTTTTGCTGTTCCGTGCGAAGTTTTCGTTTTCAGATCATGCATCCGACAGATGCTCATCAAATTGTCAAGGAAAGGATGTCATTTTTCGAGCAGTTATGCAGAGAAGAGGTAGGTCTTATTTTTTCAGCGGTCATATCCGATGTTAGGAGTGTTGACTGCATGTGTTTGACGAAATGATATCGTGGGTTTCGGTGTAGTTATTCGTATTCGCTCGGGTACATTCCTTCTTGTAGTGTTGTGAGTAGATTTTAAAATAAAATATGACATGTTGTTCGTATTTGTTTGAAGTTTACAATTTCTTTGCCAATGCATTTTTTCCGTATCCTTGATGGAAATCAGGCTTTCAAAGAAATCGATTCTTAGGGTTACTTTCACTAGCTATAGTTTCTTCTGAGTGGCTAACAAATAAGAACTTGGAGGGATGGGCTCTGATGAACTGAAAAGCAAAATACTGTGTTTTCACATGGCCATCTTTCCATTTGCTTTTTGCTGGAAAATAACTGCAAAACAAGGGAGGACAACCCTGACTAACTCTGACTCACATAGTCTTGCTAACTAACAACTGGTTTGTCAAAATATGCTAATCCGAGTATAGTGTGTTGGCCACCACATATAGGATTTCGTTTCGTAGTTGTACTTATTCCCGATTTCAATGATTTTTCAGAAATAAGATATAGCTTACAAATTTTGTTTCGACTGGCAGTGTATAATAATTCAGCTCAAGCCGTCTACTCATCGAAGAGTTCGACCAACGTCGACGACATCGCTGCCACAGTAAGTGGAGATTTCGTAGTTTTGAACAATGGTGTTTTCATATTTCTCTTAATTTGCATCACTAGTTCTTTTTCTGTTATTGTTGCTTAATTTCAACGGTTTCACCTCTGTTTAGTCTGTTGTTTGTAGAGGTTTTCTGTGTGCTTAGGTTCTCATATATCTCATCATAACCAGACATCTTTTCAATATTTTTGATATTGTTCGTAGTTTGTGCATAACAACACCATTAAGAGAGTCCCATCCTCCACCAAAGCCTAAGCGCACCTTCATGCACACGTTTGATGATATCCGTGTTGAGGTTAGTCGGTTTTTTGTTTGAATAATGCTTCTTATTTTTTTTTTGCTAACAGTACTCTTGAAATGAACTACATTGGCGGTTTTTTGGAATAGTAGCTTCGTCTACAAGCGAAATTTGTCGCTGAATAGAAGAGCGATAGTGTTTTCTCAAAAATGACTTGATGATCCATGAAAGTACTTGTACTTGCCTGTAAGCATTCTGTGACATTTGACTACGTATTGTCGGCAGTAGTGGCTTACGTAAAATGATAAGTAGTAGGAGGTGAACGTTACTTAATAGTACTAATGAACTGGTTCATAATCGTAATGGGCTATTGTGCTGTCGTTATTCCACATAACCTCATAGTCATTTCCACTTTTGCTTCTCTCTTGTACTTCTCAGTCTTAACTTGACCATCTTTCTTCCATTATTGTGGAATGAAATCAGTATGTCTGCTCTGTAGTGGTCCGTCTAAAGAACGTGAAGCTTTACGTAAAATCTGCGATAACGACGAAAATTACCAACAATTGTGCATGATGTGCAATGTATCGCTGTTGTGTTTGACTGCTAGTGATGAAGCGAATTGAATGAGAACACCACTAACTGCTGAATATGGAGATGCTGATCGGCCGTAGTTAATGTGCCTTGAAGGTCATTGTTGACAACGGAGAACTCGCTGACCGGTACATGGCTTCGATTGTTATGTGCGATCGCTTCCTCTTCACTAGTGACCATGAAATGATCATTGTGATCGTATTGCGGTTACGCGACAATCCTGTGTATAATGAGAATGCCAATAATATGAGCATTCGTGATCCCAAGCTTATGAGACAGACAGATTTATAAGCTGAAAAATATCGTTAACTGTTAGCTATCAACCTAACGAAATGGCATTGAATCCTGAGCTTTGAAAACTGTTTAGATTTCTCAAAATCAAGAATGATGAGACAAGAACGAGTATGTTTCGTGATAGTAGAACTGGATAAAACTTATGAAAGTCTGCTGAATAACACTACATTTAACACTCTCACCACCATGCCTAATCTTGTATTTGTTGCGAACTGGTCGGCGCCGGGTTTTAAGCCCTAATGGACTTGTTGTTTTCTTGAAACTAAACAATAATTTTTCGATAACTAGAGTACTTTAGGGTTATACACATGAATGAAGTGTAGAAAATGGTTTGCTCTATCATTCTATAGGTATCAATATTGTTTATGGTGCTATTCACCAGATGTTGGTGTGGTCCATCGAACAAGCACATTACTGTCAGCATTTGAAAGTGTTTTGCAACTTACGACTCTCTATTCAAGTTTTTTTTCCACTCAGTTTTTATTTAGCATTTCAAAATATTTTGTATTTATCTAACTATCGTTTACTACGGCAATTAAAATTGAAATAGTAGTCGATTAGCCCTCAAATTTCTTGTTAGTGAACTCAATCAGAAAAAAGGCTTCTGTATATTTCTAAGTGCAGAAGAGAGTGTTTTTCTAACAACGTATAAAACAGCATCTGTATTTTATAAGCCATAGATTGGTAACTTCTATGATGCTGAGATATTTGCAAAACTCCGAACCGCAGGTGTCTGTGGTGGGGAATGAACACGCTATTGTCTTTTCCGAGTAGTAACGCGTTCACCACCACACCATGCGGGTCGTTCATTTCGCCTGTTTCTCAGCTAGTTCTATCGACCACTGCGATCAGCAATCACCCGTCAACGGGATTGATCTGGGACACAGGCGAAATGAAGGACCTGCATGGTGTGGTGGTGAACGCGTTACTCCCCGGAAAGGACAATAGCGCGTTCGTTCCCCACCGCAGACACCTACGGTTCAGAGTTTTGCAAATATCTCAGCATCATAGAAGTTGTATTTCGCAACATACTCTGCCATTAAAAAGAATAGGCAATAAGTAAAAAGGTTAAGACTATCAATTGATAGTAGGAACTTTAGGAAAGTTCTTCTTATGAAAATAGAGCACTGGGAAGAAAATGAGACCTGTAGGTGTCTTAGCGGCCACTCCCGGGAAACCATCATGTCACCTAAAGATGACAGTCATTGCGAGACTGTTAGACGTATGGCTAGCGAATCCAAGCTTGCTGCAGCGTTATGATTCTTCGCCTAATTTTTTTTGCGTTAAAGGGTTTAAATCATTATTGGTAGCCCCATTGGTTTTGGCATCGTTGTAGTTACGAAAATTACAGTTATTCATTTAGTAAATAACTTAAAAAAGTAGAAACGAGCTTGAGATAAAGTGGTCGAGATTTTATTCAAAGCGCTATTCTGTTGTTTTTAAGCTTTGTTGCAGAGGAGAATGTATTCCTATCAAAACTATGTAAATACGTGTCTGTTAAAAACGGTTGTTAATATTTTTTTGGAATTTATCTGCTAAATATTAACGTTATCCTATTAGTACTATATTTTTCCATCATACTTTAACAACCATGTCACAAGTACGTGTTCTTGGTGTTGAGCTTCGATGCGGTTTATTCTTCATAAGTCTTGGAAGGTGAGAAGGTTTTGAGCATTTCCATCTAGAAACCCAACTAAGAATAAATCAGCGTCAGAAAGCACTATCATACTGTAACAGCGTGGTCGTTAAGTGGTAAATCTTCTTCTCGTCCATAGAAGTAGAGGTCGACTTCCTGGTAATAAACTGAGGAAGCTGTGGTGCGATTATCTCGAAATTCAAAGGAAGCAAAGGCGTGCCAAACTCACATACTTTCACTAGAATAGAAATTTTGCCGAGGCCGACACTGTTTTAAGTAAAAGCTGTCTATTCAAGTGTTCATTTTGTCGACACATTTATGTGAAATTCTGGCGGACTCCTCGTATATAAGTACGTTTATCATTTCTTTTTGGAGAACATATAGTCTACGGTTAATTCAATACCATTGCAAGCTTTTTCTTATCCTCGATGGTACACGACTGTCTTCTCAATCACAGTGGGTGGTCTTCCTCCTCCGTGGTATGGAGGACGAAATCCGTGTGGTCCTCCGCCGTAAGGCCGGCCACCACCGTGTCCATAAGGGCCCATTCCCCACTGTCGCTTTTCTCGATTTGAGAAGACACTGGAAGTATTTTCTCTTTCCTTGACTGACCACTGTTGTATATCTATATTAGTAGATTATTAGTTAAAATGAGAGGATTTCTTCATAAATGCTCAAGACGTGTTTAGTTTAGATCCTAATCTTTCAGTCTCCCTAACGTCATTTCAATCCTAAGCTTGCCAAGAGCTGGAAAGCTTAATGGACGCTTTGGTATATTTGGCGACTATGTGACCTATATGTATATATAATGAATTCATAAATAACAAATCACTAGTTTACCTTACAACAGATGCTACACAGACGGCAATCAGAAGAAATGCAGTGAATAACTTCATGTTTACCTCACTAGGGTGTTGTTGTGAACCAACCTTTTATAGTCAGTTTATATTACACTGAGAATTTGCTCTTCGGTTCGACTCTCCTTCATTGTTATTTGCACTCGATGAGTTAGTTGACAATAAATGATCGTCTTCGATACATCAAGCAATCAACATGAAAACCTGAATGTCAACACTTACGATTGGGCAATAACGAATGGTAGCAAAAATTTTACGTCTTTCTGCTGCAAACATACCATCAATATCTATACCATGGATTGATCGTTATTCCCTTATATATCTGCGGTTTACATTGTTCGTTTTATTTAGTCTAAATTGTACTTTGGGCCCATATGTGGTGCACTGATTGGAGGCGTCCCGCATTATATACGCAGTCTTTGGATCGATTCCGTTATCCATGACCGCTAAAACCAGAAAAAAGCAGATGAATTTATAGTAGACTTGTCTGGAAAGATGAAGTGCACTGATCTGAACCATCGGTAGGAAACCATAAATCAATGCTTCATCCTTCTTTATTATAGGTTTTTGTGTGTTATTTAATTATACTGAGAAATTTAGATAACACCCGTGGTTTCAACACATTATGCTATATTTTTAGTTGCTAAATATCCTGAAAGATCGTTAAACAGATAAGCTTTTTCGCACTAGGTTTATGCTATGGGTAAGTTTAGTTCAATGGTGTTAGTTGAATACTGCAAATAATTAACAAGCATGCAATATAGTACTGGGAATTATTGACCGAATTTGCTGAGCGCCTTAAAGTGTCTATTAGTGCAGGTTTCGTGTGTATAAGTCGACCAGTAGTTACTTAAAAGCCTGATGATCATCCATTTCTACGTAGACATACCACATTTTTAATCGATGTGTAGAGAGATTAAGAAAGGTGCCTTGCTCTGTCGCGTCGTATGAATTGGACATTGTAATCGGTACTTCATCGCAAACAGTTCTAATGATTCGCTAGATACCATCCCTTGATAGCTCAAGATTCTTGGTTTTCTTTAAAAAGAGCGGTGGATTTCCATGCTGCATAATGTTTCTATAAAGGATTAACATTTCGACGTTGATACCTTAAGAATGCATTCGACCTTCTCAAGCTTCTTAGAGGTGATTTAAAAAAAAATTACGAGAGCCTACAGAACTCCAGAATCAATTTTCTGACTCCGAAAGATGAAAACCTTAGTTTACTCGAGGGCCCGGAATCGAAACTACGTCCACGTGTGTATTACAGAACAAGTGCAGCAACTCTGCTCTATTTACCATTCTTGTTCTGTGTAACATTCCTGCTGAGTTAGTTTTATTTCGTATTAATGACTTTTTATTCGATTATGCAGTAAGATTCGCTTTTTCTGTACGCTGCTTGTTATGACTGCTTCTTGCTGTTCCTTAATATCTGCCACAGTCTTTTTTCTCACTACTTAACTAGGCTAAATTATAAGAAGTAGTTCAGCAACAATGAACAATTTTCTAATCGTTTCATAGCTTTAGTGGAATATAATTTTAGCTTTAGAGTGCTCGTATGTTAAGCTGAACTTTCCGGTGAAGTTGGAGATTTATTGGAACAAGTGTCTTCCCGTCTGTGGGACAGTAATTGTTATTCACTCGAATGTCACTTTCCTTTGCATGTTTTCTCCACGGTGTCAGCCAACATCTGAAGAAGAGTTGCGTAGGCAACATAGAGTGATACCGGTTTGCTTGAGCCTGTATTACAACATTCTTTGCCATCGCTTTGAATTTCAATTCACTCAACTTCAATCACCGATTATATTAGAACAGAAGGAAGGTGAGACATGAGCAAAACTCTGAACCTCAGGTGCGTTTCGAACTCGCGATTACGTTTTACGGCGGCTCACTTGTTATCCACTGCACCAATCGAGGTGCTTACTTTGCCATTCTCCCACCCATTGGTTTGCTTTTCTTAGAATTTGCTTAGAGGCAGTAAATAAAAGTTAAAACTTACTTCGTTACTTTGAAGGCTCGTCCTCACTGGTTATTCGCGCCCCAACATAATTTTCACTTTTTCGGAGTTTTGCTTGCTTAGCCATTGCAGTTCCCTGGAATCCCGAGGTCTGCCTAGTCAAATTCTGCTCCAGATCGTCACTGCCACAGGCAGTCGCACCTTTGTGAATCAAACGGAGAATTGCTACCATGAGACTAGTTTCATACCAGGACGATGGTGGATCCCAGTCCCGGTTCACTCTTAGCTGGGCTTTCTGATGGAAAAGGCAGACTCCTTCTCAGCTTGGGAGACCCTGCCGAGGAATGAATCTTCCTGCTGTACATCGCAATCCGACATTCAGGAACACCTTAAAGTTACGATGAGGGGCAAACCGTTGCGAGGAACGTTAAAACGTGACTAAATTAGAGACGCTAGGGAATTGACTACGCAATTCAAGCAATAGTAGTGGAACTAGTGATGATAGAAGCTGGTTTGTAGGTATCAAGCAGAACTCTTTCCAAGCATT